TAGGTTTACGTACTGCCACCGGTATTGTAAGTGTTTCCCCGTACATAGTCAACCACTCAGCTCTAGAAGCGTCTACGCCCGGTACAGCTTCGCCGATCACCTGCGGAAGCAAAATATTAGCGCTTTGGAGTGGTAATAAGAATACCACTAGTAATAGCATTAGTACTGTTTTTACTACTACTACTACTACTACTACTACGACTACTACTACATAGTATCAGTATACGTGTTACGATCCGCCTGCTTAGCATTATTGGTAGTCCTTAAAACAATCGTATTATTACAATGTAAACTGTTCTTACTATTAGTCTCAGTAGTAGTCTTATCACTGCACTTTCCCATTCATAATGATAGTACCAGCAAGAACCTGATTAACATTACTGATGATATGTTTATCCGTGCTAGTTCTATCAGTAATACGATTCGCATCCGTATTACTATTAGTAGTGGTATGAGTTGTCTTCTTGCTATGTGAATCCTGTTCTGATGTTCTCATTACTCTTCATACTAACGATTAACATCTATACCAGGGTTGGTGCTATTCATCCTCACTTTTCAACTAGTGCATCGACCCAGTAGACACTAATCTCGGTTAGTCGTCAGCTGCATCTTGAATGAAGGTCGAGGCGAAAGCTCGGATTACCTTCAACTTGGTCCACTGCAGCCGCTGTTCATATCAAGTGGCAAATGCCGCTGATCCTCGCCCAAAACTCTGGATCCCCCTGGATCATCCAACCATGACGTCGAAACCGTACACATCGTAAATTCCACCTCCAAGCTGGGGAGACCAACACGTACCGATACCGCTACTCCGCGGACGCCTCCTCGGGAGTGACCTGACAAAAACTTCGAGGCGAATCCGACCGTGGCGACGAAGGTCCCACCAAAAGGCTCCCCCAGAACGACGGAACAAAAGGGCAGTGGTATCGGTGCACCTTGCTCCCGTCGACAACAAGGACGAGGACGACAAGGACGAGGACGATCATGAGCATCCTTTATCCGATCCCTATCCCCAGCGGCGTGGCCTGGGCCCCACTGGCCGATTTACCCCCTAGATGGGGATATAGGCCGCCCCCTTCGGTTTTGGAAGGGCATGTCCCCAACTCGGGTGGCACTTTGGTGGGGGGCTCGCCCGGGATGGAGATAGGGGATGGGGATCGGCCGAACGATGCTGAGATGACGAACGACGGCGCGGGGCAAAAGCGCCCTCCTGAATCGCGTCGTTCGTCCAGCTCCTGTTCGACCGCACGTGGGGGAACGGCGCCCCGCCGAGCCGTGGCGGCAGGCCCAGGAACTCCTCCTGGAGGCCGCCGGGGGGGGGGGGGGAAAGCAGGGCAAGGAGGGAGGCAGGGGGTGGGGGGAAGGAAGGGGGGGAAGGAGAGGGAGGGTGGAGGAGGGGGGGGAAGGAGAGGGAGGGGGAAGGGGGGGGAAGGAGAGGGGGGAGGGGGGCAGGGGGAAGGAGGGAGGGAGAGGGAAACCAGAGGGGGTCAGAGACAGGGAGGCAGGAAGGAAAAAAAGGGAGGAGGAGGAGGAGGAGGAAGAGCAAGAAGAGGGGGGGGGAAGGGGAGGGAAGGAGGGGGAGGGAGGGCGAGAGGGAGGGCGAGAGGGGGGGAGAGACAGGGAGGCAGGAAGGGAAGAAGGGAGGAGGCCCATCGCCAGGATAGGTCCACATCCACCGCTCCACGAGCCCTCGGAACACGACCCAGCGGCAGCGCCATCAGAACTTCGAGGGCCACCAGCAGATCTACATGGGCCACCAGTAGAGCTTCGACGGCAAGAGGCAGAGCCCAACGATCCACTGCCTGATCCTCGAGGGCCACCAGCAGAGCTTCGACGGCAAGAAGCAGCGCTTCGAGGGTCACCAGCTGAGCCTCGAGGGCCACCAACAGGGCTTCCGCGGCAAGAAGCCGAGCCTCAAGACCCAACAACTGAACTTCGAGGGCCACTGGCAGAGCTACGACGGCGCGAGGCAGAGCTTGGAGGGCCACCAGCTCCGCCTCAAGAGCCAATCTCTGAGAGCTCCGGACAATACACCACCACCAGCCCCGTCCGGGCCTACCCTGGGCCCTGGGCTGGTGTACAGGTCCTCCTGGCCCAGGCCCGGAGGTCTATACACCAGCCCAGGTCCCAAGATGAACCTGGCCAAGGCTGGTGGTGGTGTATTGTTATGTCGGGCGTGTCCCCCTACAGGGGGATTTTCGACAAAAAATAAAAAATACCCCAAACATGCCCCAAAAAGTAAAAAATACCCCAAACATGCCCCAAAAAGGTAAAAAAATACTCCCAAAATAGTCCCCAGACTATTTTTGGACTACTTTTTGACTATGTTTGGGGTACTTTTTATTTCTCGTCGAAAATCCCCCTGTAGGGGGACAGGCCCGACTTAAGTGTATTGGTGGCGTCCCTCTGACACAAGCCGAGCCACCGGGACCACGCGCAGAGCAACGAGGGCCGCAAGCGGGTCTACGAGAGCCACCGGCCGAGCTGCGGGGACCACCAGCGGAGCCGCGAGGGCCGCCCGCTGGGCTGTGAGAACCACCAGCAGAGCCACGAGGGCCCCAAGCTGAGCAACCAGGACCGCGCGCTGAGCCACGAAGGATGCACGCAGCTCGGCTAACGACGTGGGTCGCCTGCCGAGCTGCAGCTGCGAGGGGCATGTGGGCTGAGCCACGAGGGCCGCGAGCAGAGCCTCGAGGGCCACGGGCAGAGCATCGAGGGCAAGCGGCTGAGCCACGAGGGCCCCGAGCCGAACTGCGAGGACCGCAGGCCGAAGAGCTGCTGGAGCCACCCGCTGGAGCGCCCTGAGCCTCCGGCAGCAGGGCCGCCGGCGGAACCACAGGGGGCCACCCGAGAGCCACCGGCAGGGCCACGAGGACCACCTGGTGAGCTACTGGGAACCACGCGCTGAGCCACGAGAGCCACAAACAGGGCTACGATTAGGTCGGGCATGTCCCCCTACAGGCGGATTTTGGACGAAAACTGGCAATAGCCAAACAATACTCCAACATCGTCAACAAAAATAACACAAAAAATCATCCCCAGACGATGTTCGGACTATGTTTGAGCATTGCTCCTGTAGAGGGACAGGCCCGACTTGAGGCTACGAGGACCACCAGCCGAGCCACGACGGCCACCAGCCGAGCTACGAGGGCAGACTGCGCAACCCGTGGCCGCACGCTGAGCCGTGAGAGCCTCCCCTGCAGGGCTGCCATGGGCGACGACCTGAACTGCGCAGGTCTAGGCCTCCTAGATGGGGTCCGAGTAGATGGGGTCGGAGGATCGCAGCGCATTGGCGATACATCGGCGACGCGGCTCGATGCGGAGCCCGCTTTTCTCCACGCAGGCGGCGCCGATGCATCGCCGACGTCGCCAGTGCATCGCCGATGCAATCGCCGATACATCGGCGATGCTCTGGCGATGCGGCGCGATCCCTCGACCCCATCTACTCGGACCCCATCTGGGAGGCCTCTAGAAGGCCACGAGCAGAGCCTCGAGCGCCGCCATCTCAGATACGAGGGCCGCCTGCTGAGCTACGAGGACGGCAAGCCGAGCTGCGAGGGCCGTGGGCAGAGCCGCGACGCGAGGGCCCCTGCGCGGAGCTGCGAGGGCGGCCGCCAGAGGAGCGGCGAGGGCACCCACCTGAGCCGCCAGAGCCACCAGCAGAGCGAGCCGGGCCACTCGCACAAGCCGAAGTGCTCGAGCACGCGGGAGGACGAGAAGTGCTCGGCACGGTGTGCTTTGGGCTGGCGGTTCGGAGAACTGGTTGCTCTGGCGTGGTTGGTCCACCTGGTCTGGTCGGCAAGATTCGTTCGGATCCGGTCTAGGCTAGTTGGTATCATCGGTTTGGTCGCGGAGGTTCCGTTTCTTGTCTGGTTGGGTCGGTTGAATTTGTATGTTCGGTTCGCTTGGCTGGCCTTGGTTGGTTGGTCTGGTTTGGTTGGCATGGTTTGGTTGGTCGGATTTGTCGAGTAGCTCATCTGGCTGGTCTGATCTGGGCTAGCTGGTCTGGTCTGGTTGGTTGTTCTTGGTTGGTTGGTCGATCAGCCTCTGTACCTGGTCTACCTGGTCTTGTGGTTTGGCTGGTCCAGCTAATTTAGCTGGCTTTGCCTGGTCCGCGTGCTGCGCAGGATTTCGACGAGGACAAGCAGCATCAGCAGGAGCTGCAATAGCGGCAGAATCATGGACAGCATCAGCTCGCAGAGGAGAAATCCGAGGATGACCAGAGGGAGGTGGAAGAGGGGAGAAACTACATCAGCAGCGATACCATTTCTAAGTCCCGGAACCACGGAGGAGGTGGAGGAGGATAAGGAGGGGGGAGGAGGAAGAGTGATGATGATGACGATGCTGCTGATGAAGAAGAATAAGAACAATCATCATAATAATAGTGGAACCAGTACAAGGAAAATAACAATACTAATAATGATAATGATAATGAAAGTACCAATGCAATTGAAATTATAATACGAATGCGAATTTAAATACTAAGAATTATACCAATACTAATACGGATGCTAAACATGATAATAGTAGTACTCCTAATCATACTTATAATAACAGCACTCATACTCACAATTGTAACAATAACGTAGGAATAATACTAAGAAGAACAGGACTCGGGTTCCAGCATTTCGTTCCGCATGTTGCGCTGATGGCTGCGCTGCCCGATGCAGCCCCCTCCTGGTCCCGCGCAACATCAACTGCCGCACCACCTACCGCGGGAGGAGGAGGAGGAGGAGGAGGAGGAGGAGGAGAAGCAGGAGGAGAAGAAAGAGGAGAAGCGAGGAGAAGAAAGAGGAGGAGGGGGAGGAGGAGGAGGATGGGAGGAGGAGGAAGAGGAGGAGCAGGCGCAGGAGGAGGAGGAGGAGGAGGAGGAGGAGGAGGAGGAAGAGCAGGAGACCTCCGCCCCGCTGCATGGCACGCCCCTCCCCCTCACCCCGTCCAGCTCGGCGAAGCCGTGCCGCCCGACCTCGAACTCCAGCAGCCGTCCGGGGGGCGTGACCCTTCGGATCGGAGGGGGGGGGCCCTCAACATCCAATGACACCCTTCCTCCAGGGGGGGGGGGCGGGGGCGGAAGGCAGAAGGAACAGGCAAGCTCTCCCTGCGCCAACTCCAACCTTGCCCCTCGCTCCTCGTGCCTCCTCCTCCTCCTCCTCCTCCTCCTCCTCCTCCAACTCCTCCTCCTCCTCCTCCTCCTCCTCCCTCCTCCCTCTCCTCCACCTCCTGCTCCTCCTCCTCCTCCTCCTCCTCCTCCTCCTCCTCCTCCTCCTCCTCCTCCTCCTCCTCCTCCCCCTTCTCCTCATCCCCCTCCTAGCCCCCCCCCGACGACGCCTTCGGCGCCGCCCCTGTCGCGCTCCGCGCGCCAGGGAGGGGGCTCCGAGACTGCCGCGCGGAGCGCCACGAGTTTATGCTCAGGACGCTTGCTCTTCTTCGAGGCTTGACCTCGAGATCCGGCGCAGCTGCAGAGCCATCGGGCCCCACTGCCGGGTCGGACAACCGCCGAGAGAGCCTCCGGCTGCCACCTCCTTGCCGTCGCTCGGACGTCCCTTTCCCGTGCATTCTTCGGTCTCGTGCGTGCTTTTTGCTGCTCGGTGGTCCCGGATGGTCCTCGATGGTTCTTCGGCGGTGGACAAGCCTCCTTTTAATAAACCTCCCCTTCGTGAAAACGGCCTGGGACCGAAAGGACCGAAACCGACGGACCTGGACCCGCAACAATGACGGCCGCGACGCCCCCTCGCGAACCGAAACCGGCCACTTCCTTAGTCGACGCGTCAGGGCAGGAGGTCTATCCAAGGCGTTCCTTTTCCTGTGCAGGCTCCTCGGCACCGCCTGCACCCCGGCCCGCCCTCAGGCCGCCGGAGGCCCCGCCCGCCTGTGCCCTGTCTCCCCAATTAGAGCTGTGCGCAGCCCGCCTGGCTTTTACCGGAAGAGGTCCGCTCTCGCCCCGCAGACCCAAAAGGCCAGGGTAGAAGGTCTACCCACCTCCGATGGTCCTCGCCGAGAAAACATGCACACGCCCGAGCGATGCCAACGCCTCGAGGGCACTAGGCTCGCCTCCCCGGCCGAGCCGTGCTCGGCACGCATTCCTTAATCGACGTGTCAGGGTAGGAGGTCTCTCCACCTCCGATGCTTCTCGCCGAGAAAACATGCACACGCCCGAGCGATGCCAACGCCTCGAGGGCGCTGGGCTCTCGGCTCCCCGGCCGAGCCGTGCTCGGCACGCATTCCTTAATCGACGTGTCAGGGTAGGAGGTCTCTCCACCTCCGATGCTTCTCGCCGAGAAAACATGCACACGCCCGAGCGATGCCAACGCCTCGAGGGCGCTGGGCTCTCGGCTCCCCGGCCGAGCCGTGCTCGGCACGCATTCCTTAATCGACGTGTCAGGGTAGGAGGTCTCTCCACCTCCGATGCTTCTCGCCGAGAAAAAAAATGCACACGCCCGAGCGATGCCAACGCCTCGAGGGCGCTGGGCTCTCGGCTCCCCGGCCGAGCCGTGCTCGGCACGCATTCCTTAATCGACGTGTCAGGGTAGGAGGTCTCTCCACCTACGATGCTTCTCGCCGAGAAAACATGCACACGCCCGAGCGATGCCAACGCCTCGAGGGCGCTGGGCTCTCGGCTCCCCGGCCGAGGCGTGCTCGGCACGCATTTCTTAATCGACGTGTCAGGGTAGGAGGTCTCTCCACCTCCGATGCTTCTCGCCGAGAAAAAAAATGCACACGCCCGAGCGATGCCAACGCCTCGAGGGCGCTGGGCTCTCGGCTCCCCGGCCGAGGCGTGCTCGGCACGCATTTCTTAATCGACGTGTCAGGGTAGGAGGTCTCTCCACCTCCGATGCTTCTCGCCGAGAAAACATGCACACGCCCGAGCGATGCCAAGGCCTCGAGGGCACTGGGCTCGGCTCCCCGGCCGAGGCGTGCTCGGCACGCATTCCTTAATCGACGTGTCAGGGTAGGAGGTCTGTCCACCTCCGATGGTCCTCGCCGAGAAAAGAAATGCACACGTCCGAGCGATACCAGGGCCTCGAGGGCGCGGAGCTCGGCTCCCCGGAAGAGGGCCGTGCTCGGCACGCATTCCTTACTCGACGCGTCAGGGTAGGAGGCCTCTCCACCTCCGATGCTCCTCGCCGAGAAAGAAATGCACACGCCCGAGCGATGCCAAGCGCCTCGAGGGCGCTGGGCTCTCCGCTCCCCGGGCCGAGCCTCATGTCGGGCGTGTCCCCCTACAGGGGGATCTTCGACGAAAAGATAAGAATACCCCCAACATACCCCGAGAAGGCCAAACAATACTCAAAAAATAGTCCCCAGACTGTTTTTACATGTTTTTTTTATGTTTTTATGTGTTATTATTCTTCTTTTTATTATTTTTATTATTATTCGTCTGCTTCTTCTTATCATCATCATTATCATTATCATTATTATGATTAGGACTATTATTATTACTACTACTAATTATTATTATTACTATTATTATTAGTATTAGTATTATTATTATTATTTTTGTTATTATTATTATTATTATTATCATCATCATTAGTAGTATTACTATTATTATTATTATCATTAGTATTATTATTATTATTATTATGATTATTATGATTATTATTAGTATTAGTATCATAATTACTACTATTACTATTTTTGGTGTATTTTTTGTTTTTCGTCGACAATCCCCTGTAGGGGGCCAGGCCCGACTTCAGCCGAGAGCCGTGCTCTCGGCACGCGGCCCCCGCCGCCCCCGAGGGGCGCGCGCGCGCCCCGAGGGCGAGCGGGGCCTCCGCGGCGCGGCGCGCGCGCGGCCCGACCTCCCCGCGCCCGCGCGGGCGACCTGCAGGGTCAGGGAGGAGGAGGAGGAGGAGGAGGAGGAGGAGGGGAGGAGGGAGGAGGAGGAGGAGGAGGAGGAGGAGGAGGTCCCCCTGCGGGCGGGCCCTGCACGAGAAGGCGGACTTAAGTCGGGCGTGTCCCCCTGCAGGGGGATCTTCGACGAAAAATGGGCGATACTCAAAAAGCACTCCTACATGATCAAAGAAGTACTCAAAAATAGTCCCCAGGGAAAAAATGCTTCTTGCCGAGGGAAAAAATGCACGCGTCCGAGCGGTGCCAAGCGCCTCGGAGGGCACTGGGCTCTCGGCTCCCCGGCCGAGAGCCGTGCTCGGCACCGCGGCCCCCTCCCCCGCGAGGGGGGCGCGCCCCGAGGGCGACGGGCCGCCGCGGCGTGGAGCGCGCGCGGCCGACCTTCCCGCGCCCGCGCGGGCGACCTTGGAGGGGCCCTGGGACACGCAAATAAATACACCAGATTTCGTAATAAAAGGGAGGGGGTACAACCCTCCCAGACGAGAAGTCTTGGACCCCCCCAGACCATCCATGAAAGGGCGGCCCTTTGCCCAGACCCCCCCGAACCCTCCAAGACAGCTCAAATCAGACCCCCCCCCAAATGTGACCCCCCCACTTTATTTTGGAATCCGGAGTACACACAAATAAAAGGATTCCCCGTATTTCCCCCATAGTTTCTGGGGTTTTGTCTTCCCCCACACACTTCCCATGTTTTCCCACATTTCCCTGGGAGTGGACGATTCATTGTGTCTGTGTGCTTTTTCCCCTCCTGAGACCTGCAGGGTCAGGTCGGGCAGGTCCCCCTGCAGGCGGACCCTGCACGGGAAGTCGGACCTAAGTCGGGCGTGTCCCCCTGCAGGGGGATCTTCGACGAAAAATGGGCAATACTCAAAAAGTACTCCTAAATGATCAAAGAATACTCAAAAATAGTCCCCAGACTATTTTTGGACTATTTTGGGGGTATTTTTCATTTTTCGTCGAACATCCCCCTGTAGGGGGACACGCCCGACTTGAAGTCAGACATGCCCACCACGTGCCCAGACGTCGCCAAAGCATGCCCGAGGCATCGCCCCCAGACTCAGACTGCGTGTCTTGACGGTGTTCTGACAACAGTGCGGGCGCGTCCGCAAGAGACCCTCGCAAGAAAACCAACCCTGAGAACCCGCGCGCGAGGTGCACCGGAGGGGAAACCTGGAGCACCCTGAACGCAGCAGCTCCTCCAGCGGCCGCGGGAAGTCGCCGCGCCGCGCGCGGAGCGAAGAAACCCAGGGGTACCCTGACGCAACGCAGATGGTTTCTCGCTGCCGCTGCGGCCCTCAGAAACTGAGGGAATCCTTAAGATCGGCATCGAGGTGAGGTGATGTCAAACATACGGATAAGGATATGTTTCAAACTGGTAAACTGTATGTCCTCCTCTGGCCATCGCTCGGACGTCAATTCCCTGTGTTTGTTTTTCGGTTTAGTGCGTGTTTTTTTCGCCAACTGATCAAGGATGCTCCTCGATGGTCCTCGCCGAAGGAAAAATGCACACGTCCGAGCGATGCCAAGGACCTTCAGGGGGTCGTCTCCTCCTCCACCTCCTCCGCCTCCTCCTCCTCCTGCTCCTCCTCCTTCTCCTGCTCCTCCTCCTCCTCCTCCTCCTCCTCCTCCTCCTCCTCCTCCTCCTCCTCCTCGTCCTCCTCCTCCTCCTCCTCCTCCTTCAAGGGGACGTGCCCGACTTGACCGCAGGGCCCGGGGCGCTCCTCTCGGCCCGCCGCGCGCGGGAGCGCGGCCCCGGGCAGGCGCGGCCTCTCGGGAGCGCGCGCCCCGCCGCGCGCCGCGCTCGGCGGAGCGGGCCGCAGCGGCGCCCGCGCGCTCGGCGCTGCCGCTCGGGGCTCGACGGCTTCTGCGTCGCCCCGCGGCTCGCGCTGGAGCGGCCACGAACTCCTCCTCCTCCTCCTCCTCCTCCTCCTCCTCCTCCTCCTCCTCCTCCTCCTCCTCCTCCCCCTTCTCCTTTGACGCTGCCTAGCGCGCGTGTCGCGTCTCCTGTTCCACCGCGCCTTGGTTTTCAAGCGTGTCTTGCACCGGTGTTTCGTGCCTGATGCTGTTGCCGTGTAAAAATAAAAGAAAAAAGACGGAGGTTTCTCTGGATGTGCTCATCTCGACGTGGATCCACGACTTGCCCCAAGCC